GTCAAGTGCAGCGCCAACCCCATCTTCAACCAGGACTTCTTCTTCGAAGGGCTGGGCCCGCCCGACTTGGCCGCCCGCAGCCTGAGGGCCAAGGTGCTGGACAGGGGCGCGGGGCTGCGCAGGGACGTGCTGCTGGGGGAATGCGAGACGCCCCTCATTGCCCTGCTGCCACCGTTGAGTGTAGGGCTGAGCCCAGGGTCCTTCCTTGCACCCACGCATCTCAGCCTGTAGCTCAAGACAACTTGCTCCGGAGGTCACCGCTCTCCCCGCAGTTCTCTTTCTCTCCAGCCATCTGTCGTCTGCTGTGTGTGTGTTTGCTAATAAAATGCCGATCTCGCCCCTTGTTGGCACCCTACACTGGCGTTTGCAGCCTTTGCGTTCCTTCTGGACAGGCCACACACCGGACAAAAACACTCGTTCTGGTTGTCTGGGTTGTGGGTTGGAATAGATGTGCTTCTCTGATGGAGGAGCATTAGAATAACCAGCTATCAAAAACCGTGTAAGAGTGTGCTACACATACCATGGCCTGGTCTCTGTCCCCACGTGATGTTACTCCCAGAGGCCAGGGCTGGGTAGGTGTAGGTTCATCTGGGTTCATCCATCAGGACCCTACACCTCCAGGGCATCCTTTAGCCACAGAGTCATCCCTGCAAGAGCTTGGTAACAGGGGCCAACACAAGCCACACCCCCTGATAGGTCCCTGGGGCTGCACAGGGAATATTAGCCCTCTCTTTCCTTGTGACCTCTTTCACTTACATCTGTCCACAAATGAAAATTTGGGGTCTTGGATGTGAATCAGGACAGTCAGACTAGCAGTGCCCATTAACCACCCAGCCTCTTCTCTCCTCTCCCACACCTGTGCTGCCCGTGGAGGCCATTTGGAGCCAAAACCAGACATCCTTTGAGTACCTGATGACTTAGATAGTTGTCCCAGGGATGGAGAGCTGAGAAAAAAGAGTGCCCAAAAAAGGCTTCCCTAACCAGGAGGAGGAGGGAGTGGAACATAAATAAACAAATGTAGGTCAAATTATGTTTACCTCCTACCTGGAGAGCCCTGACGTCAGCCATGACCTTCTGCTTTCTACCTGCACTTTCCCAGGAACTGGTTCCTTTTGGCTTGGGCCAGGCACAGAGGAGGGAGGGAGGGAGCACTTCCTCCCTCAACCTTGGGTCCTTTATTCCCTTCCTCTGGTGCCAGCTGGGGCTGGGGAGATGGCTCAGTAGAATAAGTGCTTCCCTGGCAAGCACAAGGGCCTGAGTTCAATCCCCGGTTCCACAAAAAAAAAAAAAAAAAAAAAGCATTAGGCATTACATGGCCTCTGGTGCCAGCTGTGCCCCAGGGCTAAGCCTGCTGGGTCCCAGTAAAACCTCAGCACCTCAGCATCTTAGCACATGCACCTCTAAACAAAATGCACACACGCGTGCGCACACACATGCACGCGCGCACACATGCACACACGCACACACTCCCTTCTTGTGGATCCTGCATTCCTTCTCCCTTCCCTGGTTAGGTACCTACCCCTGAGCTCCAGGCCAGGGAGACTTTGCCCCAGATGTCCACTAGGTGGTAGCATTGACCAAACAAACTACCATAAACCTCACAGCTACACAGAGACTCCTTGGGCAAGAACTGCTGGACTTGTCAGGGCATTTGTTCCTCCCTGCAACTCTCCTAAGGATGCAGATACTACTGTTAGCCAATGTGACCAATGTGACCTTGGGCCTAACAAAGAGTTGAATCTGAACCCAGAGAGTCTGGCTTGAGTCTGAACTCCTAATCACCTCTAATATCCACAACTGCCAACTGCTGCCTCTCCCTTCTCCACCAGGTAACTCTGAAAGGGTCTTCATTCCTCAACATGACGTTTCTCCAGTCATTTCACGGCTGGCAGATTGGCCGCGTACGTGTGAATTCTGGGAACTGCCCCGATGAGTCTAGCTCTATGCCTAACCCTGTACTTTATTTCTACTTCAGTCCCAAATCCTCCCACAACAACTTTTAGTGAGGAAGTAGGCTTCTGAGGGTTTAGAAAGCAACTTCATATTCCATCACAGATGCTTAGGGAGGTTCTGTGAGGCGTTGGCAAACAAAACAAACAAACGGGTCGGACAGGCTACAAAATGAACAAGTACAAATGTAAACGTGTTAGGGGCCCGCCAGTTAGCTCAGTTGTTTAAGCGCCTGCGCTCATGCAAACACAGTCAGGCTCAGGGTAGCACAGTCGGATCCCCAGGGCAGCCTGAGCCAGCCCCCATTTAAGGGGCTGGGTTGGGGCGTGTTTACTTGTCTGAGGGGACTGAGGGGCTACGTAGGGGCGGAATAGAACTGACCATGGCAACAGAAGAAGAGGAGGACGGGGGCCCCGAAGGGCCAAACCGCGAGCGGGGCAGGGCGGGCGAGACCTTCGAATGTAATATATGTTTGGAGACTGCTTGGGAAGCGGTGGTCAGTGTCTATGGCCACCTGTACTGTTGGCCCTGTCTGCATCAGTGGCTGGAGACCTGGCCAGATCGGCAAGAGTGCCAAGGGTGCAAAGCCGGCATCAGCAAAGACAAGGTGGTCCCGCTCTATGGGTGAGGGAGCTAGAAGCCCAGGATCCCAGACTGAAGACTCCACCCCGACCTCAGGGCCAGGGACCAGCTCCAGAGAGCAGAAGGGGCTTCCAGGCATTTGGGGATCCCGGGGGGCTTCCTCTTCTCATTTGGTGTTGGTGCTTTCCCCTTTGGCTTTTCCCCACTGTCTTCAATACCCATGAGCCTTTCTGCAGGGGCCCAGGTGTGGATCTGGGACAGGGTCACCCAGCCTCCAGCTGGCAGGATTCCCTCTTCCTGTTTCTCGCCACATTCTTCTTTTTCTGGCTGCTCAGTATTTGAGCTGTGTCTCCTTCCTGCCCACCTCCAGCCAGAGGAGAATCAGTACTGGGGGTCTCTGCTGACCCTTCCTTACTTCTGGGCCCCCCAGCCCCAGCCCCTCCTTTTTGTTGGCCAAGGTTTACCCTGGCCACTCCCCAGGAGGGCATGGGAGGAGTGACAGCCATGCAAGGATAAGAGAGCCCCGTGCTCTGAACTAACTGCTGCCGGAGACCACCGGCTGGGCTAGGCCAGACAGAAGGGCCTGCTTGTCCTCGCCTACGCTTTGCTTTCCCTCAGATTTCTTGATTTGATGTTGAAAGGTGGGCAAGGTTCCCTCTAACTCCCCTTCCTCCTCTTCTTGTTGGCTTAATTTAATTTTTCTCTTCCCTGTATCTAATATGGGCTGTGATTCTAAGTGTTCACTCCTCCCACTACCTCCTTTATGACAAATTCAATAAGAAAGGTGAAATGTGAAGAAAAAAAAAAAAATTAAGGGTCTAGCCAAAAAGCTCAGGGGATTAAAGTGCCTGCAAGCAGGCACAGGGCCTGAGGGTTTCCGGGCCTGCAGCACCAGCCCGCCCCCGGGGCGCCCTGAGGCTGCAATAGAGACTGGGTATGTAATCCCAGCTCTTGGGAGGCTGTAAACAGGCGGATCACTATGAGTAGGATCTAGTAGTGAGCCAGGGAAATGGCTCAGTAGAATAAGCACTTCCCTGTCAAGCGCAAGGGCCTGAGTTCAGCCCCAGTTCTGGAAAAAAAAAAAAAAAAAGGATCTAGTAGGGAGACCCATACAAAAAATAAATAAACAGCTTTTCTACCAAGATGGTGCCGAAGGCAAAGAAGGAAGCCCCTGCCCCTCCCAAAGCTGAAGCCAAAGCAAAAGCTTTGAAGGCCAAAAAGGCCATGCTGAAAGGCATCCACAGCCACAAAAAGAAGAAGATGCGAACGTCACCCACCTTCCGCCGTCCCAAGACGCTCCGGCTCCGGAGGCAGCCCAAATACCCTCGGAAGAGCGCCCCCAGGAGAAACAAGCCTGACCACTATGCCATCATCAAGTTCCCCCTGACCACAGAGTCCGCCATGAAGAAGATTGAGGACAACAACACACTCGTGTTCATTGTGGATGTCAAAGCCAATAAGCACCAAATCAAACAGGCTGTAAAGAAGCTTTATGACATCGATGTTGCCAAGGTCAATACCCTAATCAGGCCTGATGGAGAGAAGAAGGCATATGTTCGACTGGCTCCTGATTATGATGCATTGGATGTTGCCAACAAAATTGGGATCATCTAAACTGAGTCCAGCTGGCTAATTCTAAATATATACTTTTTTCTCAGTAAAAATAAATAAATAAATAAATATAAACATGTTGGTAGAAAAAATTAAAGCTGGAAAGAACAGAAAAGAGGGGATCAGATAGAGAAAGGAAAGATTGTAGGAATAGGAAAAAAGGGAGGAGAAAATAAAACTTTTTAAAAAAAGTTTGAGACAGGGTTTCTCTATGTACTTCAGGCTGGCCTTAAACTTATCATGTAGCCCAGGCTGGCCTTGAATTTAGTGATTCTCCTGCCTCAGCCTTCAAATTATAGGCATTACAGGCATGCACCACCACACCGGGATAAAACTCTATTTTAACCACAGTACTTTGTACTGTACCAGGTCCTGTACTTTACCCTGAGCTTTATCTCTGTCTTCACAACCACTCAGTAAAGTATGATTATTCCCATCTCACAAGGAGAAAATAGGCCAGAGAGGTTAAATAAACTTGCCTGGGGATCAGCCTTGGCTGCAGGAAAGGTTTCTCCCTGGGACTGTACCCAAACACCCAGCCCCACCCTTCCAAGCCTCAGAGGAGGTTGGAAGAAGCTCACAGGCATTCACAGCCCTTGAGGTCAGGAGAGCGCACAAAGTTCATCTCGCTGGCTACTAGTCACAAGGGCAGGTCCTCAAGACTCTTCCTAGGTATAAACTGCTCAGGCGCTAAAGCACTCCTACCGACACCAGTCAGGACAGTTGTCATTGCCCTTTTTAATAAAGTGGCCATATTAGCAGCTTTGGGGTAGCTTGCCCACTGGAGTTGCCTCACTTTTTCTTTTTCTTTCTTTCTTTTTTTTTTTTTTTTTTTTTTGTATCAGGAATCGAACTCAGGACCTAGAGCTTGCCAGGCAGATACTGTGCTACTGAGCTACATCCTCAGCCCTGGAGTCTCCTTCTGGAAGTGGTTTCTAGGTTCTTTCTGTCCTGAACAAAGAATTGGTCAAGACAAGCACAGATGGTACCAAAGTTTTGTGGGCTGGGGAAATAGCTCAGTAGAATAAGGGCTTGCCTGGCAAGTTCAAGGTCATGAGTTCAATTCCCCAGTACCACCAAAAAAAAAAAAAAAAAAAAAGTTTTGTTAAAGAAGGAAAATAAGAATATTCTAAAGTGTGAGGGAAGGCCACATGTAAGAGCAAACACTGTGGCAAAAACTCAATGTGGCCTGTCCTTTTTGTGTCACCCACTCGTCCAGCTGATGTCAGGTCAAGGCCATCCAATGGAAAATCTGCTCTGAGAAGCCTGCATGCAGGGCTTGGAGAAATGGTGTGCACATGTGCCCTGGGATTTTGCGATTAACAGGTCACACCTACTTCCCCAGCCAGCTTTGCCACGCCCTACTCTGTCTCAGTCACGGAGGGCTGTGATTTGCCTCAGGGACCACAGCTAATACACTGAAGACCAAGCGGTCTTCCTTGTCTTTCTGTTCCAAAATTAGAGCTCCCACTCTCCACTCCTCTTTACTGTCTCTAAGTCCATGTGGACTTAGATGCTGAGAGATACAAGCAGGGTCACCAAGGAAGGTTCAAGGCCAGGAGCTAGGGTCAAACTCCACCCACAATGACCTTTGTGATTGGAATGGGCAGGGCTGGAGGCATGAAGTTCCAAGGCTACATATGTTTATAGAGTATTCCTTATTGCTTTTGGTCAAGCACTGGAGTCTTCATGAGGCCCTAAAAACCAAAGAATGGTGGTCCCTAGTCAATGCATTAAGCTCTGGAAGAAATGCCCTCCATGCCTGGGCAGGCTGCCCATGCCCCACATAGCTTCCATCTTTGCCCCCAGGCCCTGCCTGGCAGAGCAGGCTTGTATAGAGAGCCTTCAGTGGCTTCTGTGGTTTATGGGGTGGGGAGGAAGGGAAAGAAAAATTGGTGACTGCTCCCCAGTTTCAAGCCGCCACCACCACCACCTCATCCCACCCCTTCAGGCTGTTTGCCCCTTGCTTTGAGATTCTCCTGGCTGATAAGGGCACTGGGCTTGTGGAGGGTGAAATGATTCTTTGATCCCTATCAGCGTCTTCCTTGCATAAGAATGTATTTGATGAGGAAATAACTACAGCCTGCTTTGAGAAGACTGATCCCTTCAGAAAGAAGCTGTGTGGGGCTGGGGAGATGGCTCAGTAGAATAAGCACTTCCCTGGCAAGCGCAAGGGCCTGAGTTCAATCCCTGGTTGGGGGGGGGGGGGGGGGGGGAAGAGGCTGTGATTGCAACAAGAGAGAGAAGGTTCAGGAACAGAGGGAACTCCCCACCCCCCACACCCCCAAGAAGGACCCAGCCAGCCGGACATGCTTAGGGCAGAGAAGGGGCTCAGGCAAGCCTCCAGTCACTTTCCTTGACACTGCACAGAATAGGTCTATGGCACAAGTGGGAGAGGCAGCTTCACCTTCTGGGGGGGATGGGGTGCAAGGAATGTGGACAGCCCATCTGCAAGCTTTCTAATATAATCTGAAGGGTTTGCGGGGGAGGTAGCAAGGAACCTGGGAAATCCAGAGTCACTTGGGAAGAGAATGAAGGATTTTTTATTTATTTATTTATTTTTTTTTGGTGGCTCAGGCTGCCTGAAGAGTGGGTCTGGTAAGGCAGGTGGAGCTAGGGATCGAACTGGGGTATCCTGTGCCTCACTGTGTTTGCATGAGTAGGCACTCAAACAACTGAGCTAACCAACAGCAGGACCCTGGAAGAGAATGAAAATGAACCTGGGTATTATGGTGCATGCCTGTAATTCCAGCTGTGAGAGGCTGAGGCAGGAGGATCGTCAGTTAGTTCAAGGCCAGCCTGAGGTACATAGCCAAATTAAAAGAGAGAGAGAAAATAAAATTTTTAAAGGGCTGGGTATAGCTCAGTGTGAAAGCCTAGTACTAGGAGGAAAGAGAGACTAAGAGAGGGCATTGAGGGAAGAGATGGAAAGGCCCAGAAAACAAGAGCCATAGAGGGGTGGGCATCAACAGGAGCACAACTCAGCATGAGGGGGGCAGAAAGATCCCCCGCCCTGCCCTGCCCTGCCGGCTCTCCATGCCCCTCTCCTGCTGTCAGCCAGAAGACACCAGATGCCATGGCACCCAGAGAGCTGGCCTCACACTCCAAAGCTGCCTAAAGGCAGAGCCCTCAAACAGACTGTTCTTGAGCTCAGTGTAGAGCAGTGGCGCCGCCTTCCGCCTCAACCAGTCCCTAAGAAGCACAGGGATAAAAAAAAAAAAAAAAGCAGCAGCAGCAGCAGCACAGGGATAACCAGAGCCTTGGAGGCCAAGGCTCAGTACAAGGAGGTCCTCACAAACTTCCCTCCCTCTTCCTCATTCTCCTGCCCTTGCCAGTCACGCTAGGAGCTGGAAAGTCCTTTTCCTTCTCTAACTTTTGTCCCTCAAACTGCAGCCCCTAGGAGACTGGGAGCTCTTTGGGCACAGAGATGTCCACCATAGCAAATGTGCAGCACCAGGACGGTGAGACAGCCGGCCTGCCTTCTCCACGCCAGGTGCCACGTGCACCAGGTGGGGGGGAGTGGGCGAGTCACGAGGCGGTGGCGTGGTTGGCTCCTGTTCTGCTGTTTACCAGCTGGGAGAAAGAGCAGGAGGAGGTGCCAGGGAGCCTCCCGCTGCAGCCTGGCCGCTGGCCAGCTGCCTATTGGGTAACCAGGAGAGCCAGGCCCAGCTAATCAAATGCGGGACCAAGGCCAGCCAGAGAGCTGTGGCCTCTGCAGCCCAGGGAGCCTGATCCTTTGGCCTTCCCCAGACTCCAGTGCAGGCGGCAGGTGGGAGGCTCATCCTGGGACTCTTCTCCCAACTAGTCTGGACTGGCACCCCCCTCCCCTTCCCCTCCCCTGTCCTCCCCCTCCCTTCCCCTGTCCTCCCCCTCCCCTCCCTTTTCCTCCCCTCCCCTCCCGTCCTCCCCTGATCTCCCCTTCCCTCCCCTCCATCCATCTGCCCTCCCCTCCCCTCCTCTCCTGTGCTGCTCTGCCTTGACACACTCCTCTGAGCCTGCCTCTGGCCCCCAACAAAGCAGGCAGTCCAGAAGTTCTAGGAAGGGCAGCAGGGGCTAAGCAGGCACTGTCCTCACGGAACTAAAGACCACTGGCATCAGCTCAGCCATCCTGGAAACAAGGCAGATGCCTCCAAACATGTCTTCTTGCGATTTCTTGGCTCCCTCACTCCCCTGTTCTGTCACCAGCCTTAATCTGGTAGAAACCATTGGATTCTGAAGTCATAAAAATCTGGGTTCAAATCATAGCTCATCTGCTTGTGTCCTTATGCAAGTCCCTCGGCAAGTAAGTCATTAATGACTTGGAGTAGCACTTGATTCACTGGTAAGCCTGCAATAACTGCGCTTCCTGTGATTCTTTACACAAAGCAAAATCATGATTTACCCACAGGGCCTGGCAGAACCTCTCGCACACAGTAGGTGACTACTAAATGCTAGCTCCCCTCTTGGCACTGACCCTGCTTCTCAAGGCTCCAAACTCTGGCCTGCTGGTCTCACCCCACGTCCCCTCTGGGTGCCAGGACGCTCTGCCAGCCACTCCTTTCCCCTGCCTGCTGACGGGCCAGGTGCTCCCTCCCTCCTCCCTTCTCCCTCCCCTGGGCCCTGCTCCCTGCCCTCCTGGGCAGCCAGGGCAGCGAGGACGGCACCAAGGGAGCTGCCCCATGGACAGGGCCCCACAGAGACACCACCGAGCCTCAAGGGGTAAGAGGCCCCACAGCCCTACGGGCAGGTGGAAGGGACAGCCAGGAGGCTCAGAGGAGGGGAGAGATGGGGGAGTAGTGAAGGTGAGGGTGGGTGGGCATGAGAATGAGGCGGGATGGCACTTGATGGAAAGGGAAGGAGAAGCTAGAGGAAGAGTGGGAAGCAAGAAGGGGAAGAAACAGGAAAGAAGAGCAGCAGAAACCTGTTAGGGGAAGAGGGGGATGGAGAGAAAGTCTGGGTAGGTAGGGGTGCAGGTTCAGGGGAGCTAGGTGGAGGGAGGGATAGGATGGGCCTGCCTTTTCATGTGTTAGTGCCCCCTGGGAGGGGTGGCCAGGCTGGTGTATCTTCTGTCCATTCCCCACGGGAGGAATCTGGCCTGCTTCTAAGGAGTAGGATGGGGGAGCAACGAGACCCTGTCATCTGCCCATGCCCATGAGCCTGGCACTTGCCTCCCCACAGAAGTATGGGCTTTCATTTTGGCAGAGAATGTGGGGCAGTGGGCCAAGAGCAGTGAGGGACAGAGCCGAGTAGCCCTTGGCCCTGCCAATGGACTCGTGCAGCAACCCCTCAGAGCCCTGTCCCAGCCACATGGGTGGTCAGCTGTGAACCCCAGGCAGAGTGTGAGTGTTAAGGCCACGGGCACCACAGCCACCTGGGAGGAGGGAAGCAGCCCCATGGGCCAGGGCCAGCCAGCTGCTCTGAGGCGCAAGACTGGAGGCTGGAGAGGGGTGCCACGTCAGGGAGGAAGCAGGATGGGGCCAGAATAAGGGGGTGGGGTAGCCACACTCTGGGGCAGACCTCCTCTGCCCCCCTCCCCTGCAAGCCCAGGCCACCACTGTAACCTGGAGAGGAAGGCCTGGCTATTGGAGCATCCCCTGGGCAGAGGAACAGTAGAGGAGAGGACAGGCACTGGGCAGAGGTGGGCCTGAGTCACAAAGTAACAAAACAACCGAGTCAGAGGTTAGGGAAGTTACAGGCACGGCCTGAGGGCTTTCTGGGCCAAAAGACTGGACCGTGCTCTGTGAGGACTGCTCTGTGGGTGCTGGAAATAGGCAGAAGGTGGCAGAGGAAGGCTGCTCTTCCCAGGGCTCCCTCCTAGGCATTTCTGAAGGGGCTGAGTAAGAGAAGAAAGGGCCCTGCCTCAACCGCAGCACAGCTAAAGCCTCCCTGGCAGCTGCTCCTGCAGAGGCCCCGCAGCCTGGCCAACCCCATCAGCCCACCTGCACTCTCTCCTGCCTGGTCTCCACCCAGACCCAGCCACCAAGTAGCAGGGCAGCAGCCACAGCAGCAGCAGAGACAGTATTCTCCCCTACAGGCTGGCGGCCAAGGAAGCTGGGTCAGTGGAAGCCCAGAAGGGGTCTGCGTTTACAGCAGACCCCTGCTTGCCCTCTCCAGCCAGCACACCATGCCTGGAGCTCCCTGGCACTTTCCTCCCCACAGGCCCAGAAGTATGGGCTTCCATTCGGCAGATAAGAAGCCAAATGAGATTTCATTCCCATAGAGATTTAGCTCTTGGTGCAGAATGTGTGTGGCTCTCCTGTAATGGGCTGGAGGAGGGTCCTGGGAACAGCAAAGTGAACAGGATGGGCACAGTCCCTGCCTCCACAGTGGTTGCCATCTAGCAAGGAAGACCATTTCATAGATGATGGCACAATTGTGGCAGTTAGGTGAGGTGGTAAGGACCAGGAATTAGTGGAAGGTGCTGAGCATGTGGTCCCCAGGACAGAGTAAGCAGGGGGGTCGTCTCCAAGGAGAGACATAATCAGCCACCAGGGGCTGGAGAACAGCTGGCTAGCTCAGGGGTGAACGAAAGAAGGGCATTCGAGGCAAAGGAGCAGTGTGGGGAGGTCCTGTAGGCAGTGAGGAGCTGGGCATTTGGAGGACCCGGATAGGGAACAGAGTGCTGAAGACCAGATACAGAAGTAGAGAGGGCACTACAGAGGGTGGCCCAGCTTCTCCTCAGAGGCCAGGCCCTGCCAGAAAGGAGCAGGGTGAGATGTAGTCCTGTGACCTGACCAGGGTTAGTGGCTTGACCCTTAAGGTCTTCAACTTTTGGCCCCTGATGCCCCTTCTTCTCTTTACAGAGCTGCTGGCTGCAAAGAAGACCCACACCTGTGAGTAGGAAATGGGGGACAAGAAGTGGTGCTGGGTGTGGTGACATGGAGAGGACCCAGCAAGGGCTTGCTCAGCAAGGGTCCTAAGAAAGAAAGGCACAGGCACTGGGTGCAGATGGCAGGGCCGAGGGCAGCCCTCAGGGAAAGGTAAGGAATGAGGGAACAAGGAGGGGATGAAGAAGCCTAGAGAGCATGAGGAGGATGACAAAGAGCCAAGCAGAACCCCCAAGGTGGTGGTGAGGCGGGGCAGCCTCAGGAACACAGCCCTGAAGTCTGGGAGGCTCAGCCTGCCCAGGCTTTGTGGTGGCAGCGGCAAGTTTGTGTTCATCTCTGTGGTTAACACAGGCTGAGGTGTGAATAGGCCTGGAGCTAGGCTGCGCAGGATGAGACATCAGAAAGGCTTTGTCTCTGTAGGAGACAGAATGGGCAGGGACACTAGGGTCCCTGAAAGCCTGAGACCATAGCCTGTAGGAAGGGGAGGTGTCAGGAGGGCCTTCCCAATGGATACCAGCAATGACACCTTCTTTCTAGAGGCTTCTTGGCACATCAAATCTACTCTCCTGTGGGGAAGCCTCCCACCAGTGTGCACCCTGTCCACCTCAGTCCCCAAAGCCCTTATGCAGCAGGACCAGGCAGTGCTTTCAGCAGCCTGAGTGCACACTGGGAAAGGCTCCTGTTGCCATTGACCCTGGACTTAATGACACTTTTCTAGAGTAGGAGAGGCCCATCCATTGCTTACCAGCCACTCCTGAGCTCCCACTGCCAAAATCATCATGGGACTCCCCGGCCCAGGCAGAGCCACTGCCAGCGTGAATCCTTACCCTCACGCCTGAGCAGGCAGACAGAGGCTGGGGGCCACCTAGGATGTGACATCCCCTCAGATGGGGGGATGCTTTGCTCAGCACAATCCTGATGTGTGCTTCGCCTTCCCCACCACTAGCCACAGCACCCCACGGAAATGCTGAGCAGGGCCCCGGGAGGAAAGCGGGTCAGACTGATGTGAGTTTGCTGGGGGAGGGGGTCAGGGACCGTGTGTGGCAGGGGTGGAAAAGGGGCAGTTTTGGAGCAGTGATAACTGGAAAGGCCCAGTTCCAGCCCTTGATTCTGTACCACTGGAGCCAGGACCACAGCTCCTGGCCCCTTTATCGCCTTCCTACCCCTGCCCTTGTAACCAGCTCTGCACCTCCCATCTAGTGTCCTTCCAGGGATCCAGTCCGTGTGGAAGAGCTGACTGAGGAGCAGCTAGACTTCCTGTAAGATCAGAGACCTCACAGGAAGTTTGGTCAGAGAATCTAGGAGCTGTTAAGGCCTCCCCAGGCCAAAAGTCCCAAGGAGGAGGTCCAAGATGAGGACCTCAGGGAAACGCCCAAACAAGAGGAGGCCTAATTACTGAGGGCCATAAAGAGCAAGCCCCAAGGCTGAAGCACCCCACAGAGCTAAAGGGCCTATGAAATTGTTTGGCCTGTCAGCAGGAACTTCCACTCCAAGAAAATCTCCCAAAAGTCTCACACTCTCCCTAGACTTCCCAGGTTGACACCTTCAATAGCAGACTTGAATCAGAGAAACCTTCCCATCCCTTCCAGTCCCTGGTGGGATCCAGGTCCTGTGTGCCTGGCTTTGAACCCTGACTCTACCATTTACCAGCTACGGGCAGTTTCTTAACTGCTCTGGGCCTCACTTTCTTTGTCTTTGAAATGGAGACAATGGTATCTATCTCGTGTAGTATTTTGTGAGATGGTCTACATAAACTATGTAGTACCATTTCTGGCATACACCAAGGACTGTTATGACATGGAGTATGATGATAATAGTAATGATTATATCATTATCTGCATTCTAACTGTAGCAGCTTGCTCCTAAGGATATTTCTGGGGCTGGGGAGATGGCTCAGTAGAATAAACACTTGCCTGCCAAGTGCAAGGGCCTAGGTTCAATCCTCAGTTCCACCAAGAAAATAAAAAAAAGAAAAGAAATTTCTGTTGGATCCTGCAGATCCTGGGTATTTGCCTGGTAATCACTGCTGTTGTTTTCAAGTTTCCTTCCCTAAGCCAGCGTATACATCGTATCTGTAAGGAGGGGTGTGAGTGTGTGTGTGTGTGTGTGTGTGTGTGTGTGTGTGTGTGAGATAAACAGCTTCCCGGAGCAGTGGTGCTGGGCATGACTGCAGTCAGTCTACAAGATCTCAGGTGGCATGTGTCACCACTGCCCCAGGTGGACATCTTGTGACTTACCTCAGAAACATCCTTGTTCCTGGAGTCACCTAGCAAAGGGAGTCAGGCTTGAGGTCCTCAGGGAAAGGGGAAGAGGAGCCTGGCCCCAGGCTCTTGCAAGCTCCACTTGGGCTCGCCACCTAGAACTACCCTGGCAAGTGGAAACAGCTTTGACCGCGTGTGGCTGTGGCATGTGGTTTTGGAATTTTCCAACGCCCCCTACGATTGGCTGCCCCACCCCTCACAACCTGCCTCGGGTCCAGATTGGCCCCGTAGGATGCCTGTCATCCTACCAGCTGCACCCCTGGGGGGGTGGGAGGGGGGTTGTCACTTGGCCACCTGTGTGGTGCAGAGCTTAGACCCCCCTGCCCAGAAGCACTGGGGGAGAACTAGGTGCAGAGCTACTGCTGAGGTGCCGCTGAGAGGGCCTGGTCCCCGCTTCTGTGGCCAGCTGTGCCCACCCTAGGACCACCCCTGCTGAAAAGACCAGGAGGTCAAGGCTGGCACATCCAAGACTCAGTCATGAGAAGTAAGTGTGCGGGCTACCTGGGCATGGGGAGACCTGGCTCTGTCATCATCCCTGCACCCTCTGGATAGGAGGATGTCTCAGGAACAGTGCGAACCAGGTGGAGGGCTCCTCCCTGGCAGGGTGTGTCCCACTCAAGGCCAAGATCTGTTAGGAAATGGGTGGAGCACAAGGGGACTCTGGTCCCCCAGGCCCTCCACATGGGAGGCGGAAGAGCTGTTGAGGAACTTCTTGGTCCTCCAAGAACATCGGAGGTGCCCGGCCCCTCCTTTCACAAGAAGGCATTGAGCCCAAGGAGGGCGAGTGCTTCACCCTAGCGCGTACACTGTTGCTTGCTGACAGAGGTCAGTCCTTACAAGGGGCCCTAAGCTTACTCTCCTGTCTCCTGTCAAAGCATTTTCCTCTGTGTCTCCAACCTGCTTGTGTGGGGGCAGAAAAGGGGGCCAAAGGGGCTGCTGTGGAGGACAGTAAGGGTAAACTGAGGTCAGCAGGCAGAAGGGGTCACAACCCTAGCACCTAGGCCTCAGAGCCATCATGCTTTCTGCCCACCAAGAAACTGAAGGACTATGTAATCCAGCCATAGTCCTTTCCTATGTGTGGAGCCCTGTGTGTGTATGTGTGAGAGTGTGTGAGTTTGTGTGTGTGTGTGTGTGTGTGTGTGTCTGTGTTTTCATTCTCCCAGGTTTAGTCACCCATTTGATGGAGGGTTAGAGAAAGAGGTCAAGGTAGCGGGAATGGAACAGAAAGCCCTCGGCCTCTCTTCCTGGTCTAAAGCCATGGCCAACAGCTGCTGGGCAGATGTCCAGGTCCCTGTGTCTTCCACATGAGCAAGGGTGGCACATCAGACAGTGCACTGTGTTCACACAGGGCAAGGCAGAGAACCTGTCAGAGCACATGGTGAAGGAGGAAGAGGGAAGCCTGTGTCCCCATGGCCTGAGGCAGCCCCAGCTTTGAGCTGGGGTTGTCCCACAAGCCACAGTAAGAAGATCATAAGAGGTCCTGGAAAGACCCACTAACCCAGTCTAACGACCAGTTCTGGTGCCACTTGTCACTGCCTTAAACCTGTCACCTTGGGCAAGTCATGGGCTCTGGCCTCCCAGCTAAAAAAGAAAAGGGGACAAGCTGAATTTCAACAGAAAATAAAATGGCAGCAAAACCTGCTAAGGAGAGTTTCCCAGTTCCAAGCCTAGGATTAAGGTGACAAGCCTGATCCTTGAGTCAGCCATCCCCCGGGGCAGGAAAGGAGCTCCACTGCTGGGACAGTGACTTGGAGTCCTGTGAGCTAGGCTGAGAAGAAGGGGCAGCAAACAGCCCCGCAGGCTTCTACACAGCAGAAGTGGAGCCCTTGGTATCCTCAGGTTCCCTTCCAACTTCTCCCCACTGGAGCAAAGAAAATGACCCTCCTAGAAAATGACCCCATTCAACATGTCAACCTGGGATGCCACACCAAGTGGCCTTCCAGCCACACAGGGTAGAGTTCCCAGCAGTATCTGAAGGAAGTACGTGGGCATCTCGGCATTAGCTTCATATCCTGTCACACACACACTTGCTCAGACCAGTAGGTAGGAGAGGGTCTCCTCCAACCTGGGAGTCCGTGCCACTTGGACGTTTCTGGGTATCTATTAGCTCCAAGTTTTCCCATCCTAGTCAATGCCAGCCACCCCCACCCAGGGTCAGAGCAACAGGGGCCTGGGGCTGTAACACATACAACGCCCAAGAGCCAGGCATACCAAAGGTAGAAACAGTCTAAGAAATAGAGACGCAGAGCCAAGTACAGTAGTACACATCTGTCACCTCAGATACTTGATAGGCTGAAGCAGGAGGATCTCAAGTTTAGGCCCAGTCTGGGCAACTTTGTGAAGCTTAAAAAATAAAGAGCTGGGAAATACAGCTTAATGGTAGAATCTCACAAAAGTTCAACCCCCAGTACTAAAAAGAAGGGTATGGGGCAGAGGCCAGTTGTGTGAAACACACAGGGAGAAAAAGGAGGGGATAAATAAATACCAGGAGAATCAAAGCCATGAAAGTGTGAAGCCCAGAGACAGCTGGGGAGCAGATGATCATGGAAACGAGCAGAGGCAGGCAGAGAGAAGAGGCGCTGGGTAGGGGGTTGCATGGCCGAGGGAGGGTGGTCCAGCCATCTCATCTCCAGGACCATGGCCAGTGTGGCAGCCGGAGGCACGAAGATGCTGGCCTTAGACCCGCTTGGGGAAGGCAATGGCTCCCTGCTCTTCCTAAGTCTGTTGTGACAACAAGCAGCAATG